CCCACTGGTGGACCTCCTGATGGCACTGGTATTTCTGGCCACTGTGTGACACAGAGTGTTGGACGGGATGGGCCTTTGGCCTGATCCAACATTGGCGTCTCTTATGCTCTTATGTTCTTATGTTAATAAGCAATGAATATAAAATGTGGGGAACTGTGTAACGGTTCAGGGGTGAGTGGGAGAGTTGGAGACATTCACGCTCAAGCGATGAGCGCTCAAGGCCAGCCAGCAAATAAGGAGCAAAACCAAAACACAGCTGCAGAGCAATTCCAGCCGAGAGGAAAAAACTTCATGGCGGGACTACCCAACAACTGGCTGGAAAACTGGACTAAAACAAATAAAATGAATTTCATTTGGGATAAATGTAAAGTTCTGCATTTAGGTAGGAAAAATCAAATGCATAATTATAGGATGCTGGAGACTAGTCTTGGCAGTAGTATGCGTAAAAAGGATCTAGGGGTCTTACTAGACTATACACTGAACATGAGTCAGCAGTGTGATGCAATAGCTAAAAAGACAAATGTGATTTTGGTCTGTATCAACAGAAGAACAGTGTCCAGATCACATGAAGTGATGGTATCACTTTACTCTGCTCTGGTTAGACTTCACCTAGAGTACTGTGTTCAGTATAGGGCACCACAATTTAAGAAGGATATAGACAAACTGGAACGTGTCCAGAGGAGAGTAACGAAGAATGGTGAGGGGTCTGGAGACCAAGTCCTATGAGGAAAGGTTAAAGAAGCTTGGTATGTTTAGCCAGAGAGGAGATCTCAGAGGTAATAAGATAACCATCTTCAAGTACTTGAAGGGTTGTCATCTAGAGGATGGTGCAGAGTTGTTTTCTGTAGCCCCAGAAGGTTGGGCCAGAACCAACGGGTTGAAATTATATCAAAAGGGTTTTCAGCTAAACATTAGGAAGAACTTCCTGACAGTTAGAGTGGTTCCTCAGTGGATCAGGCTTCCTCGGGAGGTGGCAGGCTCTCCTTTGGAAATTTTTAAGCAGAGAGTAGATGGCCATCTGACAGCAATCTTGATTCTGTGAACCTAGGCAGATAATGAGAGGGAGGGCAGGAACGGTTGCATCAGTGCTACGTTCCTGTGACCCTTTCTTACATGCCCAGGGAAATACAGATCACCACTTTGGGGTCAGGAAACAATTTTCTCCAGACCAGTTTGGCCAGGGATCCTGGAGGGATCTTCTGGGCATGGACCGGGGTCACTGGGGGTATGGGGGGGAAGTAGTTGTGAATTTCCTGCGTTGTGCAGGGGGTCGCACTAGATAACCCTGGAGGTCCCTTCCAACTCTATGATTCTATTCCTAGAGTGATGTACATATATGTATGCCTTTAAGTGAGCCACCGCAAACTAGTTTCTGTTGGGAGAGCCTCACTTAGTCTTGGTTCTGTGTGTGTAGGCTGTAGTTCCACGCATGCATGAAGCAATAATAAAAGCATGTTGCTGAAGTTGCCAGTCTCTCCTATGTGCTAACTGGATAGGCAGGCTTAATCCTACACACCAGACCCCAGAGGATACTACGCCTAGAGAAATATAAGATAAAAACATAATAAAAAATAAAATAAAATGAAGTTTAGTTTATAGAACCCCATTAATAGAATTTATAAACTCAGCTGCATTGTTCTTATGAGCTTGGAAGTGTTCATTCAATTCTGCTTATTTTACATCTGTACGAAAACAATTTCCCTGCTAAGAGAAGGGTGAACAAAGCGTAACATAAGAATAAATTTTATTGAAACTAAACTTACGTCCACATGCAGCCAAAGGTCATATCTTTCACAAATGTCAGCTATTTCATCCAGAGGATCAAACGCTCCCAATACTGTGGTGCCAGATGTGGCACTCACAAAAAATGGTGCAGCTCCCTGTGGAATGATGCAAAACAAAAGAGAGTGTGTTTGCACTGTTCAGATTCTACATTTAAGTGTGACATACTCAGTAAAGTAAGGTCTGGAAATCTGGGACAGGGCTAACAACGTCTACATTTTACATTCTCAGCAGAAAAAAATACAGAGAACATGCCTTGAAATGCACTCTATTTGAAACACAATTGAAAGGAACTTGTGACTCAAGGAACAGAATGTCAATTGAAATGCTCTTGTAGCATTATAGGTTCTCGTTTTGAGATCTTCACACACATGATGAAAGGAAGCTGATTAAAGTCTGACTGGAATTTTTTTTTTCCAGGGACAGCCTGAGACCTTCTGGCACATGAAGTGGAAAATTCAGATTGTAGCACCAGCACACACACATACTGAGAAATGATTTTTTAAAAGGTGTGCTGCTTTTAAGTACTGTTATGATACAGCCACCCCACCGCAATTCCAAGCTTTGACTTACGGCCTGGTTCGTATGTCATACCTTAAGGATAGAATGGTATTTCTATAAGGCTTTCCTTAGCTGGAGAGACCATCATGTGAGACGGATGAAAACACAACTGGGCAGGATACTATTTACAATACCCACACCTTTCCACAATATACTTACATTTATTTATCCCTCCAAAATTATGTTTTCAAGCATGAGATAGGAGCACCATGTTAATACAAACAATACTGTTGATTATAAAGCTAATTAGTTCATTCAACAGGCTACCCGTGGGAGGAAGAATTTCTTCATCCCTAGGAGACCCAACCTGCATGACGTAATTTGTATTTCCATATTATTTTCTTGCCTGCTTAACATACAGGGGAACGGCAGTATATTTACCACCAAATGTGAACGATCGCTGCTTGTCTGCCAAGCCGAAAATAAAAGATGTCTATAAGGCAGCTTTCCATTTAGTATCAGAACATGGTGAACCTCCAAAGTGGACAAACCACTGGGGCTAAAGTTTATATGTGTCACTTATTTGCTTCAGTTGGCGTAGATGGTAAAGAAACACTACAGCCTGAAGTGACCAGCATGTGTAAACTGTAGGGATGAGCTGTGCATGACTAGCCCAGCAAAGTGTGATCAAAGTTAATGACAGCCTTGAGAAAGCAAGAGCCTAGTCCCAAGCAGTGATGAGAAACGAGATGTGTCAGCAACAAGAAGTATAATCCTAGAGTCCAAAGACCACCCTGTGCAGCAAGGCATTGGGGAGGGGTCACCACCTTCTCACCATAGTCTGCTGCAACCCAAATCTCTTAGGACGTCTAGCAGCAGCAGTGTGTTGATGTAGCAGTTGAAGCTGCAGCTGGAAAAGAAGCCTGGGAAGTCCGGATGTCATGTGCTAAGACTTGCGCAGGTGTGCACATTGAAGTCACTATTGTTTGATTTGTCCTAACATATTGGTGGAAGACCACCTGTGCTAGTAATAGGGTAGCAACAGGATGGGATGGGGACCTGCATGTAAAGTATATGTTCTCTTTTGATTTCTGCCTCAGACCTCCTACGGAGTGCAGAAATCACAGTGCAAATTCCAAGCAGAATTATATCCTTCTAAGCCAGGGCCAATGGGCCATTGAAGTCAGTGGGCGTAGAAGGGTGTAGCTCTGCTTTTAGGATTGCATTGTCAGTCTGCAAAACCAAGGGGAGGGCCCATGGCTTAGTGGCAGAGTATCTGTTTGGAATGCAGAAGGTCCTAGGTTCAATCCCTCGCATCTCCCATTAAAAGGATAAGGTAGGAAGTGATGTGAAAGACCTCTGCCTGTCCAAGTAGACAATACTGACTCTAGTGGACTGATGGTCTTATTCAGTATAAGGCAGCCTCACGTGTTCATGTTTATGTTCATGTCTGGAAAAAGTACAGAGGAGGGGCAACCAAGATGATTAGGAGGCTGGAGCATCTTCTCTATGAGGAAAGGCTGAAGAGTCTGGGACTTTTTGGTGTAAAAAAGAGATGACTAAGGGGGGACATGATAGAGGTTTATAAGATTATGCATGGGGTGGAGAGAGCTGACAAAGAGAAATTTTTCTCCCTTTCCCCAAATACCAAAACTCAAGGGCACCCAGTGAAACTAATAGGCAGTAGGTAAAGGATGGACAAAAGGAAATACTACTTTACACAGAAAATTATTAAAATGTGGAATTCGCTACCAGTGGATGTAGTGATGGCCACAAGAATAAACAGTTTTAAAAGGGGGTTAGACAGATTCATGGAGGATACGTTTATCAATGGCTACTAGCCACAGTGACTGAGGGGAACCTCCACATTCTGAGGCACTAAACCTCTGAACCCTAGAGCCAGGAGGTATCATCAGGGGAAGGCCTCAGCCTCTGTGCCCTGTTGTTGGCCCTTCAGAGGAACTGGTCAGCCACTATATGAGACAAGATGCTGGATTAGATGGACCATTGGTCTGATTCAGCAGGGGTCTTCTTATGCTCTTATGTCTAAGGCTTTTATCATACATCCATGAATGCCGCTATCAATTTTGCCGGATATGGCTTTCCACACAAAATTTTAAATTTAGAACAAAAACTTGGATTTAGTTTTCCTACAGCACAATGCCCAAGTGCCCCAAGGTACTGTTTCTTAGCCAGCTTTTACATGAGTCTCATCCATTTAGTTATACGTAGCTATATTTTAGCAGGGGGAAATGGTTATTTATTTTTATACATATACTGCACTTTCAGGAATAACAACACACCTATCTTTAGTATTCATGTCTGGCTATAAAATTGCTCTCACTACAAAATAAACTTGCCAAAAACACTCTCTCCCTAGAAGCCTGAAGAAAAATACTAAATAAAACAAGATTTCCTCCCAACACAACAGCTGTAAGTTTTTTATTACACTGAAGTATTGATTAAAGTGCCTTTCTTGTTATTAACCTTAAAATATCAAAACACCACACAAAGTAACATGTCCTGCAGCCAACGGAATAGCCTGACAAATCCCGCTGTACTTGGCTGGGGTGGTGGTGGTGGTAATGAAGACTAAATTTCAAAAATTGCCTTTTTTAATTTGCCATGCAATATGGGGAACTAGATGAAATGGCTGCCATATTGGGACATTTTAAAAATCTTCTATCTGAATGCATCACTGAAAAAATGTACTGTATTCACTGGATAATTTCTACATTAAGTAAAAAAGATAATATCTTCTTTTCAGTCATAACAGTTGAGTAAATCATGTACATTTGTGGCGAAAGAAAATTCCAGCCCAGTGATTTCTTGTGGATAAAGTTGACTTCATTGGAGAATGCAACTTCATGCAGAGACATGTGCACATAAAGCTGTTCCTCCACTGAAATCAATGAGAAAAGCCATACGTGCAGGAGCTCTGTACATACACTGGAGCAGTGTTAAAGCGCAACCTTTACACATCACACCACAGTACAAAAATAAGTTCCCAGTAAAAACAAACAAACACTTCTTTCCAGTTCATGAAGGTATGCATGCTATAGCTGCAGTCCAACCAAATTTACAGGCAGAGACACAACCACTTCCAGAGCAACATGTTTCTGCATGGGACTCTTCCCATTTTTTTAAAGTCTATCCCTTTTTGATGCATAAAAATAACCAAAGAGAAGACATTCTCACAGAATGTGCATTTTTAAGAAGACTGTACTGTTTGAAGAGGCAGATATATGTATCCAAACACCTGCCACAGATGGGCAGATCCAAGGCACGTGTTTCCCATATGTTTCCATATATACAATTCCTTTTCAAGTATTATAAAAACACTATTAAAAAGCTGTAGGATCACCTCTACCAAACAAGCAGTGATCATATAAGCCTGTATTGCAATCTGTATAAACAAATTGCTGAAAATCGTAAAATGGCATTTCGGAAGAATACTTACATTGAAGTGAGATAAGAGAACCTTTCAAATGGTTATAGTATCCATTTCAAGGAAATGAAACCATATTAAAAAGAACAAACAAATGTATCTATATTTCAGTAACATGATTTCTTTAAAAGAGCGTAGAACAGAAAGCAGTGTTTTACAAAATACTTCTATTAGCATAAAACAAGATTTTTATCAAAGGCCTTTTTAGATTATGAGAATGCTCCTCTTCCCTTGCAAACAACCATTTCACCCCAAACAGGGCTGATCTATCATTCATGAATCGGCTAATTTTATTTTTTTACTGCCTGTTTCTCCTGTCTTTTCAAAATGAAGGAAGCATATGAAAAACTACTTCCATTAAGACTATACCACCAGTAGTGTGGTATAGTTCTTTTGGTTCTAACAATAGGTGTAATCTTAGCAACTGGCACAATATTCTAAGGCACCAGGTTTAGGATTGTGGCTAGGGTTGCCAACTCTGGGTTGGGAAATTCCTGGAGATTTGGGTGTGGAGCCTGGAGAGGGGCAGGGTATAATACCACCATACAGTCCACCCTCTGAAGCAGCCATTTTCTTCAGGGGAATTGATCTCTGTGGCCTAAAGATCAGTTGTAATTCTGGGACATGACAATCCTAATTGTAGTGCAAGAGTAATTTGTTACTACCTGGAAATAAAAAATTTAAAATGTATTTATTTACTTCATTTATACCCCATTTTTCTTCTGTTGTTCTCCTCTTCCATTTTATTTATGCAACTATCCTGTGAGGTAGGTTAGACCAAGGGTTTGTGACTGGCCCAAAGTGACCCAGCAGGTTCCCATGGCTGAATGGGGATTCAAACCCAGATCCCCCACATCCAGCACTATAACCACTGCACCACAACGACTTTAAAGACAGAAAAGACAAACTAAAAATATTTCAGGACTGCATTCTTGTTACGAACGATTTCTAGAATTGTAGAAACCTAATGACTTGTTGGAGCTGTGGTGGCTCAAGTGGTTAAGACGCTGAACTGCAGGCTGTGGAAGGTCGGTAGTTCAGCAGTTCGAGACCCGAGTGCCACATGACGGAGTGAGCTCCCGTCTCTAGTTCCAGCTCCTGCCAACCTAGCAGTTCGAAAGCAAGAAATTGCAAGTAGATAAATAGGTACCACTTCGGTGGGAAGGTAACAGCGTTCCGTGCGCCTCGGTGTTTAGTCATGCCGGCCACATGACCACGGAAACGTCTTCGGACAGCGCTGGCTCTTCGGCTTTGAAACGGAGATGAGCACCGCAACCCTAGAGTCGGACTCAACTGGCTTTCGAGCAAGGGAAACCTTTACCTTTACCTTTTTAATGACTTGTTAGTCAGGACTCGCTCCACAATTTGTAGCATAACTAAAAATGACTCTTGTGGTACATAAAAGCATGACAGAGTCAACTAAACATACATCTTTGTTTTTGCAGCAACCACATAACATAGCCAACTGGAAATGCAGCAAGCAGGCTGCACCTAGAAAAACATTTGTATATATAAGAACTGTCCTGCTTTCACTTTCACTCTTCTTTTCCCACACATTTCCTCATACAAATCCACAATGGTACACCTTGCACAGGCGCACACACACATGCGCACTCTTGCTCCCTCTCGCTCTCTCTCTCCCCCTCTCACCTCTTTCCTGGCCCGCTGGACTTGTTTCTCCAGTTCCTCAGGTATCATCTTACCTCTATGGGACACAGATTTAAAACTTTTCAGTTATGTTTTAAATAGGTTACTCTCTTTACAGCACTACTGCATTTCAAAAAGACAATCAGATCACTTCAGCGGCTTTGGCTCCCTTACCTTTCATCACTTTTGATGAAGTAAATATTTTGTGTGCCAATTCCCAGGAAAGATGCTGCCTTCTTCACAGAGTAATGACACTAAATAAATGCAAGGGACGTGAAAGAGTAAATTAAGCAGGCAATTAACAATGGACATATCATTAGAGACATTTCCTGAGGCAAATGTTACAAATTCTGATCAGAAGCGAGACCTCAGGAGCCTGACTGCAATAAGAGGATAGCAAAACAAAGGAATCCTCCTCTCTGAAAGCAAGAGGGGGAAATGACACTGGTTTTCAAACCTGGAGTCTTTGGTATGGAATACAATAGGTATCTCAAGTCTAAGTTATTGCTAAAATGAATTGTCAGGCTATAGAAACAAACATAGAAATGCTGAATATACTAGTTAAACCACTCACAGTATTTGATCAATGGCACATCATACCTTCTACTAGTTTTCCCTGCACTTCAAGTCTTTTTCTGAAATCTATATTCCATTTATTGTCTTGGGGAGTTCAGTAACAGCTCTGAGTAATGCCAGAAGTGTCCTAGAGTGACAGCTCATGATGGGTTTATCCACTCACCCACTGGTTAAAAATGTTGGGTAATTTCAGGAAACAAGATGGCTGCTACTAACCAGTAGGGATGGGCACAAACTAGGAAAATGCGGTTCGGCTCATGGCATGCCCAGTTCATCAACCACAAATTGTCATGAACTTTTGGGAGCTAATTAACTGGTTCCGTTTGTGAGGTTCGTAACCCTAGTAGAATAGTTCCTGTGCAGGCTAGAGACACCAAACCTGCAGGGGATCTGTGGCTGACTCTCCTCTACCTACCTGCCAAGTTTGGTGAGGATTGGGTTTATGGGGTCCAAGTTACATTCCCCCCAAAGAAGGTGCCCCCAGGAAAGTGCTTTCTGAGGAAACAACTGTCATTTCCCCAGAAAGCACTTTAATGGGAGTACCTTCTTTTTTTGGGGGGGCGGCATAATTCAGACCCCGTAAATTCAATCCTTACCAAACCTTGCAGGCAGATAAAGGAGAGTCAGCTGGAGATCCCTGGCAAGTTTGGTGTCTCTAACCTGCACAGGATCCATTCTATATGCTCCTGGATCTCCTGAACTTGCACCTGTCAAAATGACCATTCTGACAGGTGCAGGTTCAGGATGTTCAGGAGTGTATAGAACAGATCTTGTGAAAGCTACAGACACAAAACTCACAGGAGACTTCCTGCAGAGGCTTCTCTACATGCCCTCCAAGTCCCCCCCCCCATTGCTTTGAAGTTCAGTAAACATTTAGATTGAGTGGAGAAAGTCTGTCTGGAAATGTATCCGTTCATGAACTGGCATGAACCTCCACAAACAGCTTGAAAGTTCGTGGAAACTTCATGCTGGTTGATTTGCCATGACTTCGCTAACCACGAACTGCCCAAAATTCACCATTAACTTTAGTTCGTGATCCAGTTCATGCCCATCCCAACTGATCTGATGTTGTGTGCTCTCTGACAGACTTCCTAAAATGGAAATGTTGCACTGGGTTTAGGCATCTACATAATGTTCTCTGGAGCTAAATGCATGAGAAGGTGCTGAGCATCTAGGATCCCATTTCACCAGCCAGGGAAAATGCCGTAGTCTACACATAAAATTGTTGTAGAAGAGAGGTCTTCAACAGATATTAACCAAGACAGCTAAATGGAAATTATATAAATAAGTACTATACTTCTGAACATCATACACTTAGTGGTGACAATCATCAGGGGATGGACTTCAGCACCATCCCCTGCTTGTGACCTTCCAGAGACATCTTGCTGGCAGTTTCTATAAAAGATGGTATGATCCAGAAAGAAAATTCTTCACATTTCCACATGAAAGCATTCACTAAAGGCTGAATTTTTCAGCCCCTGGGAAACATCTGATATTATACATCCCCTATTCCCCTTTTGAAAACTTGTTCAAGGAACTAACCAGAAAATAGATACAAATGCATATCATGATAGATCAGGCATGAATATGTGATGTGTGAACTGTGGAGAAGTCACTACACATATAACCTTTATGCTATATCAAATGTTACCACATAGCCTCCATTTTGTCCCTGTCTTCTCTAACTTGGCACCCAAGACTTTTATGTTTTGCATTAAAAGCAACAAGTAAGTCTCAGGCCAATGAAGAACAAAGTACAGAGATTGAAAGGACTAAGCAGGAACACTCCTGAATCAATTATGCTAGCTGAAAGAAAAGGCAGCTTCAGGAAGTCCCTGGATGGGAAACCTCTCACCATCAATGACATTCAGATGATTAATAAAGGACTTTCAAACTTCCATGGGCCTTTTGGCAGTAAAGACTATCTGCTACTACCATGTCAATTACTGTACCAAGGATCCATGCTCATATTTGGTTCAACCATCTCCATTCTGTTTCCTACCTTTGCCCACATCTGAATTTTGACCATGTGAACCTCCCTCCTTCTAGAAATATCCCCAGTTTCAATGTATATAGGCTCACAAATCTCCCAGACACACACCTGACCACTCCATCTTTCTGTTTCAATTCCCAAGTACTGCCCTTTTGTCCTACAACTAGGACAATCCTTCCCCAGTGCGCACTTTTTGCCTTCTCCAAACCACTTATATATATAAGCTGACATAGGGTAGGATTCCTCTCTAATAAACTTGTTTTCTGATGCTTAATTCTATCTGGGTTTTCAGTTATTCCTCCAAGTTCACAGTAGCACTTCATCACCTAGTTACAGGTTTCATATTACTGATGTGTGGCTGTTGCTCTGGATACATCTAGTAATAAAAATCACCATCTACTTAGGCAAGGATGGAGTTATGGGGAGGAAGGTCTGTTAGGTCTGTTTTTCATGCTGCGCAATCTGGTGGGGGCTCCAACAGAAAACATGCCCACACAGAACATATGTCCCTAGCCACACATGATAACAGAAAGAGTTGTGTGCTTGGGCATTTGTAGCCACTTTTGCACGTTCAAAAATTTGAACAGGAAATTGGAATATCATAAAAGACCCATAGACTTATTACTGTGAGAAATCCCTCTGCTAAAAAGTCACAGGATAATGTGTTTGGAGTGTTTCGGCCTGCTCAGCCTGGAGGAAGTTGACAGACTGCTTGCATCTGTGCGCCCAACCACATGTAGCCTTGATCCGTGCCCCTCCTGGCTCATTAGAGCGGGTCACGAGGGGTTGCGAGGTGCCCTTAGGGAAATTATCAACAGTTCCCGGGGGCCCAGCCAAATTGGCTAACTATCAGCTGGTGTCCAATTTGCCCTATTTGGGCAAACGTATTGAGAGGGCGGTGGCATTACAGCTGCAGGGCTTTCTGGATGACGCTTCCATCCTAAATCCTTTCCAGTTCGGCTTCTGCCCGGGGCATGGGACAAAGACAGTACTGGTCGCTCTTACTGACGACCTCCAAAGGCATCTGGATTGAGGCGGTGTGGTAGCACTGTTGTTGTTAGATCTGTCGGCCGTGTTTGATATGGTCGACCACCAGTTGCTGACCCACTGCCTCGCTAACGTGGGGATTCAAGGTCTCACCCTTCAATGGCTTGCCTCTTTTCTCCAAGGTCGGGGACAAAGGATGGTGATAGGGGAACAGCAGTCCCGGAGACATCCTCTTGAATGTGGGGTGCCGCAAGGGGCAGTGCTTTCCATGATGCTGTTCAACATCTACATGCGCCCCCTTGCCCAGATTGTCCAGAGGTATGGGCTTGAGTGTCATCAATATGCAAATGACACTCAGCTCTATCTGATGTTGGGCGGCCGGTCAGGCTCCAGCCCAGAAGATCTGCACCGGGCGTTGCAGGCCGTGGCTAGTTGGCTCCGACTGAGTCGGTTGAAACTAAACCCGGTGAAGACGGAGGTCCTGGGGCTGAGTCGGGGTGGTCTGGGGTTGGGTCTCCCTCTCCTGACCTTCAATGGGGTGCCTTTGGTGCCAGCACCGGAGATTAGGAGTTTTGGAGTGCTCCTGGACTTCTCGCTAACTATGGAGGCCCAGGTGGCAGCCACTGCTAAGTCAGCCTTTTACCATCTTTGGCTAGCTCGGCAGTTGGTTCCCTTCCTCGACCGCGATGACTTGGCCACAGTGATCCATGTGACGGTCACCTCGAGGTTAGACTACTGTAATGCTCTCTACATGGGGCTGCCTCTGTCACAAATCTGGAAGCTGCAGCTAGTGCAGAATGCTGCGGCCAGGCTGTTGATGGATCTCCCTGGCCGGGACCACATCTGGCCTGTGCTAAAAGTGCTGCACTGGCTGCCAATAGTGTACCGGATTTGCTTCAAAGTGCTGGTTCTTACCTTTAAAGCCCTATATGGCTGGGGTCTGACATACCTAAGGGACCGCCTTTCCCCATATGTTCCCCTACGGGCACTACGGTCGGGGATGCAACATCTCCTGGCAATTACAGGCACCAAGGAGGCCAGGCTGGCTGCAACCAGGGCCAGGGCTTTTTTGGTGGCAGGTCCTACCTGGCGGAATGAGCTCCCGGAAGAGACCTGGGCCCTGCGGGATCTTGCGCAGTTCCACAGGGCCTGTAAGACGGAGCTCTTCTGCCAGGCTTTTGAGTAGGAGCCTCCACTACCTTACCATCATCACCAACTGGCCCTGGGAAGAGAGAACGACTGTGTCGCATGGAACTGAGCCTGCTCGCGGGATGGGCGGGGTATAAATATAATAAATAAATAAATAAACTGACATCACTGATTGGGAGTACCATCTTCAAGACGCCATCTTTTATGGAAGATTGTTCTGAAATATCTAGAGCACTTTATAAATGTTGTAGTATTGTATTGATTGTTTTATGTGGTTTTAATCTGTTTTATGTATTGGCTTACGCCCTATTTGTGAGCCGCCCTGAGCCCGCTTGCAGGGAGGGAGGGCTATAAATTAAAATAATAAAATAAATAAATAAATAAATGTGTGATGCACCTGGATTGCTAACAATGACAAATCTCTTGATCAGTTCTGGAGTATAAAGGAGAAAAATCTGGCTGGCAGAAGAAAAATCCATATGATCAATATGTTATGTTCTGCTGTACAAATGCCTGTTGCTTCTGTGGGTGAGCCTGTGCCTGGAAAAG